GGAGAGTTTCTCCCGTCAACCTAGTGCGGTGTAGACACTGCAATAAGTTGACCTAAGGTACATCGGACCGAAGGTTGTTCACGTAGCTGGAGTTGTGTAACTTAGGTCAACTTAACCCCATAGTGTAGACCTGCCCTAAGTGTCACTCTTCCACTTAGACACCCATGCAGGTTTGGAGATTCTGGAACAGTGTTTCTGAATGTATTATTTCATAAGAATTGGTTGAAACTCTCAAGTTTTAGAACTAATCACTACAGTTTTCCTATAAACTGACTTTTCTTTCCATCTTTTAGTATTTAAAGAACTGCAATGCCGTATGGGTAGTAGCCAACATCACCAGAGCAGTGGATGACAAGACTGCCAAAGAGATGCTGAGTGCAAACCTGCGGAGGCAGCTGCTCATGGATGGCCAATATGGGAGTTTAGCATTTGTTTGTACTAAGACTGACAGCTTCAATGTTACAGAAATAATGAGGTAACTTCAACTCTGCTCCAGTAGCATGTCTTGCATGAGGTAGTGGTTGATCACTCAAGCTCTGTTAAGCTGAGAACCTCTTCAGCAACTTGCCAGGGGTACAAGAGATGCTCTTAACTTTCATAAAATGGGACAGATTACAAGTAGAGGTAGAATGTAGAGGTGATCCCACTGAGCCTCAGGGCTCGCAAGTTACTGTGCAGCAAGCCAGGGTCTGACTCTGCAGCTCACCAGCTTGCTGTGCGCTAACATCCTGTGTGGACACTGCTACAGTACAGTGAATGTCAGTGTGGCTCCTCATACTTGGGGCTTGTCTTCACTATGGAGCTAAATCGGCGCTGCTGCAATCGATGCAGCGGCATTGATTTAGCGGGTCTAGTGAAGACACGGTCAATCGATGGGAAAGCGCTCTCCCATCGATTTCTGTACTCCATCTCAAGGAGAGGTGGAAACAATGTCTGCAGGAGAGCGTCTCCCATCGATATAGCGTAATGTGGACCCCACGGTAAGTAGATCTAAGCTATGTCTACTTAAGTTATGCTACTAACGTAACTCAAATTGCGTAGCTTAGATCGACCGGCAGCGATAGTGTAGACCTGCCCTTAGGGCCCTACCAAATTCACAACCATGAAAAACACGTCACGGACCGTGTGTGCTTTTACCCTATACTATGCAGATTTCACAGGGGAGACCAGCATTTCTCAAATTGAGGGTCCTGACCCAAAAGGGAGTTGCAGGGGGCATCACAAGTTTATTTTAGGGGAGTTGCGATATTGCCACCCTTGATTCTGTACTGACTTCAGAGCTGGGAGGCTGGAGAGTGGCAGCGTTGGCCAGGTGCCCACCTCTGCAGGCAGCAGTGCAGAAGTAAGGGTGGCAACACCATACCATGCCATCCTTACTTCTGTGCTTCAGAGCTGGGCTCCCGGCCAGCAGACACTGCTCTCTGGCCGCCCAGCTCTGAAGGCACCGCAGCCGTCAGCAGCAGCACAGAAGTAAGGGTAGCAGTACTGCAACCCCCCTATAATAACATTGCGATCCCCCCACACACTCCTTTTTGGGTCAGGACCCCAACAATTATAGCACTAAGAAATTTCAGATTTAAATAGCTGAAATCATGAAATTTATGATTTTTAAAATGTTATGACTGAAATTGACCAAAATGGACCATGAATTTGGTCGGGCCCTACTCATACTACTACTTGTAGGGCTCGCCATGTAAACCAGTCCTCAAGTGTACAGAGTTCAAGAAAGGATCAATTAAGTGTTCTGGTTTGGCCGGGGCTACGCTGGCGGTTGGCTGTATGGATTACTGGCCACAGCAGTGAACTAAGTTCATCAACATTTCCAATCGTGATGAAATGTCCCTAACCTTTCAGTTGAATTACAATGGACTGTACCACCTGTAGCTCACACTAGTACAGTGCTCTTAGGATATAAATTGCTATAAAAGTGCTAAATGGTTATCTGTCCTCAGAATGTCTGTGTGCTGGGCTTTCTAGTATCTTGACTTGTGCTTTCTGTAGATCGTTTTACAGGCCCATAACACACAGGTTCTCTATCTCTTGTCTTAAAATTCAAGAGCTTAGTTCTGTGAGGTGTTAGCACTCTCAGCTTCCTCTGATTTCAGCGCAAGTCACAGATCTGGATTGTAAACCCCCTCACCCCTTCCAAGATGCAGTCTTTTTGTCTTTGTTCATGGTGGCTGATGTAAATCATTGTTGTCTTGCTGTTCACACTCTAACCTTTAAAAGGCTAGAGTGGATTCAGGGAGCATGCACTTGGGTACTGTCTGGGAAGCAGAATTGATGTGTGACTAAGTTCCCTCTAAGCTGCGTGGCCACGCAGCTGCCTATTAAGTCCCACACAGGGGCTTAGGGCTGCGTTGTGGAGAGATGCCTCTCCCCTAGCACGGACCTGGCGCGGCGGGGAGAGGCACCCCTCTCACACCCCGAACCCCTCATTCCTGGCCCCACCCCAGAGCCTTCACCCCTAGCTGGAGCCCTCACCGCCTGCACCCAATCCTCTGCCCCAGCCGTGAGCCTCCTCTCACTCCCTGAACCCCTCATCCCTAGCCCCACCCCAGACCCCGCACCCGTAGCCAGAGTCTTCATCCGCCCACACTTCAACCCTCTGCCCCAGCTCTGAGCCCCCTCCCACACTCCGAACCCCTCGGCCCCACCCCATGAATTTTGTTATGTGCACCAATGTAGAATCATAGAACTGGAAGGGACCTTGAGAGGTCATCTAGTCCAGTCCCCTGCACTCAATGTGTCACACATTACCTCCATATTGGTGAACACAACAAAATTCATGCCACACATGGACATAAAAAATTAGAGCGAACACTGGTGGACAGTGTCCTTTTGCTTTGTCATTAATCTTCCTATCTGTGTGACTGGCTTGTTTTTGTATGCTACATGGTAATCTTGGAAAATATTTGCCTGGGTTTTTTATTTCCAACAAGGAAACATATGTTTTTACATGTAATGTCCCCAGCTTTGATGGCTGTGGACCTGATCCAAAAGCTATTGAAGTTAATAAGAGTCTTCCCCATGACTTCAATGGTCTCTGGATCAGGCCCTATAGCGGGTGGGCAAATTTTTTGGCCTGAGGGCCACATCGGGGTTGCGCAACTGTATGGGGGGCTGGGTAGGGAAGACTGTGCCTCCCCAAATAGCCTGGCCCCTGCCCCCATCTGACTCCTCCCACTTCCTGCCCCCTTACTGCCCCCCTCAGAATCCCCAACCCATCCAACCCCCCCTGCTCCTTGTCCCCTGACTGCCCCCTCCTGGGACCCCCGCCCCCTATCCAACTGCCCTCTGCTCCTCATCCCCTGACCATCCCCTCCCAGGACCCCCTGCCCCTAACTGCCCCCTGGGATCCCACCCCCTTATCCAGCCCCCCCCCCGCTCCTTGTCCCCTGACTGCCCTCCTGACCCCTATCCACATCCCCACCCCCTGACAGGCCCCCTGGGACTCCCAACCCTCCCTGTTCCCTATCCCCTGACCGCCCCCCAGAACCTCCGCCCCATACAACCGCCCCCTCCTCCCTGACTGCCCCCCAGGGTCCCTGCTCCCTTACACAATCCCCCCTCCTCCGCTCACCCCCTTACCAGCAGCAGGAGCTTGCAGCTGCGACACACGGCCAGAGCCAGCTGCGCTCCCCACATTTCCCAGCAGGAGTGGCGGGCCAGAATGCGGCCCATGCGGCGGCGTGGCTGCAGGGAAGGGGGGACAGCGGGGGAGGGGCCGGGGACTAGGCTCCCCAGCCGGGAGCTCAGGGGCTGGGCAGGATGGTCCCATGGGCCGGATGTGGCCCACGGGCTGTACTTTGCCCACGTCTGCCCTATAGTATGAGGGCCCTAGATTATAGTGTGGTATGCAAACCAATGAGCCATAGAACTCACCCATCTGGAAAAGCTTTGCAAACAAAACGAGTGGCACAGGATTGTCAGATTTGTTCACAATGAATTGCTGTTAGTAATCAAGCAATTAAAGCAGAATATCTGTGTAATTCTTTTACAGCAAAAATATCCACTTAATTCAAGTAGAATATCGGTGTATGCAGTGTCTTTTTTTTGTAGTGGCTCACTTTTTTTTATAGCCTAACTTTTAAATGACCTGGATCTTGCAGTGACCTGGATTTAAGAGATGAAATCCAGCCCATAGAAAAATCACTGGAAGAGCTGGAAAATCAGCGGGTGCAAATGGAGATGGAGAAGGACACGCTTTATGCTCAACTCCAACAAGAGGTTGGTAATTCTTTTCCACCTCCTAGCACAAGACACTGGGTGGCAGATATGTTTGGGTCTGGAAACAGCCTCCAGGCAGTAGAAAATTATGTTTGTTAGTGGTTAAAACAGCTGTTATCCTCCAGCTAACTTCACCCCTGCCACTTAGACTCCGATGGGCTGTATTTCAAACCTGGAGAAAGGCTTTTCATGGTTAGTTGTTCCAGTGGGGAGAAAAGGAGGATGGATAATCCAGAGATCACATATGAAGAAAATCTGACTCAAACCTTGGGAGCAGCACAATACGAGGAGATGTAGGGGATCCTTAGCTCTCAGACTGCCAGGTTAGAGAGGAAAATGCTCTTAGATCTAGTCCATCACCCAGGAGACAGTGCTGAACTGTACTCTACAATATGTTCCTCCAGTGTTTTGCCCTGTATGGTTTGAAACAGCCTAAGCAATAGAGCTTCCTCTTCTCTTGGAAGGCTATTCCATAGGGCACGTCTTCACTACCTGCCGATCCGGCGGGTAGCAATCGGTCTATCGGGGATCGACTTACCGCGTCTAGTGAAGACGCAATAAAATCGATCCCTGATGGCTCTACCATCGACTCCGGAAATCCACCGTGGCAAGAGGCGGTAGCGGAGTCGGCGGCGCGGCAGCGGTCGACTTGCCGCCGTCCTCACAGCCAGGTAAGTCGACCTAAAATACGCCACTTCAGCTACGCTATTCACGTAGCTGAAGTTGCGTATCTTAGGTCGACCCCCCCGCTGTAGTGTAGACCTAGCTATAGTCTAAAGATGAACAGAAGTTAGGCATTGTACGTCATTTGTGATAGGTCAAGAGAAACTTAAATAGCTATTGCAGTGGATGGATGGATGAAAATTCTGCCTCAGATACTAGGATTGATTATTGCTGATATATATTGTGCAACTAACTATTTGAAGCCATCAGACTGTGCACAAGTCTATATGTCCTATCCCTGTAACCCTCTTCCTTCCTTCATTCCTTCCCCATGTTTTCCTGTTTGGTTACTCATTTCTTTTCTCTAGTCTTAATCTGTAAACTCTTCAGATCAGGGGTCGTCTCTTACTGTGTATTAATATAGCAGTCAGTATAACAGGGCCCCCATCCTGATTTGCTACAAAATAATACTAATTATTAACATACAGTGATAGCTAGATTAATTTTATTCACTTGTTAACAGTGGTACAATTGTATAGGGACCTTTTATAGAGAAAATAAACAAATTATCTATGCCTCAAGAGCTTGGAGCCAGGCTTAGATACGTGTCTTCTCTTCTTGTGTCATGGTCCTCAGGCAAGATGGGTAGAGAGGCTTACACAAAATAAAGTTGAAGTTACTTGTCTTTTACTTAATCTCAATTTTATCACTATAACATTGGTGTGGAGTGCCAGTCACTGCTGTGCTTGGGTGTGATGAGTCTTGAGGACTCCCTCAGTGTTCTCTTCTGGGAACTTCCGTGATTTGTGCAGTAGAAAGCTTTGTTGAGTTCAGTTGTGTCTAGCCAAATGTTTCTAGTTCATGGAATTTTTCTGACTTAACTCCCCCCCCCCCCACCCTCCCCATGGGGGACAGCCTGATGATTGGAATAGTATGGAGCTTTAAATTGCTAATGTTTTTAATGCTTCCAGTATTCTGTTCTTTCATAGCAGCAACGGCAAGGACCTGGTGCAGAAAATCCAGCCTCATTCCAGAAAGAAAATGACCTTAGGAAGAAAATCCTAGAGAAGGAATTCAGAGTGAGTGTCCTTGGGGGCCATGATCTGACCAACTTTTTGGTCAAACGAGGAAATGTGGATTCTTCTTCAAGTGATGGTCCCTAACATGTTCCACTGTGGGTTATGCATACGTACCATGTGCCTGGAGCTGGAGAATTTGCAAGTATTGTCCACTGGTCTGCACATGCGCCCTAGCTCACCTCATGTTTCTGACCGTGGATAAAAGGTGGGGCAGATCAACCGCCTCTCCAGTTCCTTCTCACCGCTGCATGAGCCAGGTCGGAACCTCTCTGTGTCCGTAGCTTTGGCTTCATCCCTTAAGATATTATTTAGCTTTGTTAAATAGTTTTTAGCGCCTTGTACAGTTAATAATTTTAGTGTTTTCATAGTTTTGTAGTGCTAGATTAATCTTTGGGGGAACACTTCCCTTGCCCCTAATGCCCCATGTGGGTACTGGACTGAGCCCAGGACTCAAGGCTTCAAACTGTTTTTCCTGCCTGCAATCCTTCTTTGTCAGTGGCAACCACAATGCCTATATTGCTTTGGGGAAGCTCACATTGCATTGAGGTGCAGTATCTGCCACTCGTTCCCCAGCCGTACCTGGGAAGGGCAGGAACTCCACTTTTGAAAACACCTCCATGGAAAAGACTGTGAGCCCTCAATTGGACCCAGACTGGGGAACCCCCTGTACATCAGTCTGACTAAGCAAGGCATGGGCCTCCTGCTGCTAAGTCTGACACTGATGCCAGAGATGCTACCCCCATTGACCCCCTGGCAGGATCTTCTCGGGAACCCAGGAAGCATTCTCATATGCCTGAGACTGTCTTCCTCAAAATCCACTTCAAAGGCATCGGATTTGGCTCTGAAAAGCTCAGTGCCTCAGTCCAAGAGAACTTACAGTAGAACCTCAGAGTTACGAGCACCTTGGGAATGGAGGTTGTTCATGACTCTGAACAAAACGTCATGGTGGTTCTTTCAAAAGTTTGCAACTGAACATTGACTTAATACAGCTTTGAAACTTTACTATGCAGAAGAAAAATCCAGCTTTTAACCATCTTTATTTAAATGAAGCAAGCACAGAAACAGTTTCCTTACCTTGTCAAATCTTTTTTTGGTAGTTTACATTTAACATAGTACTGTACTGTATTTGCACTTTTTTTTTTTGTCTCTGCTGCTGCCTGATTGTGTACTTATGGTTCCAAATGGAATGTGTGGTTGAAGGGTCAGTTTATAACTCTGAGGTTCTACTGTAGTACATCCTAAGTCCCAGAGGCTTAACAAGAAAGTCCATAAACATCAAGCTCCATAAGTACTGGAAAACGATCAGTCCGTATTGTTCTCAGCACCTCCCAGACCTCAGGATCTGTTGGCTCTGCCAAAGACAGTTCACCTCCTACTTGAGGCACAGTCTTCGACAGCACCCTCTCCAGCTCTGATGGTCCAGACAAAGACAACCACTCTTACACTGGGGAGAACTGAGTCCCAGGCCACTCCACGGGACATCTTCGCACTCCTGGATCTGGCACCTCCTCCATTGGGTCTGTTCCTTTCCAGAGATGTTATAACACCACCTGGAAATCAACAGCTCAGAGAAGTTTATTGCCTGTTCCTTCTTCAAGATACAACTTCCCTTCAGTGGGAAGGTGGTACACCTCTGGAACAGGAATCAGCTTTTTCCTCATCGGGAGACTCCAAACCACCCGAGGAGCCTTCGTTTCCTTACCCTACATATCCTTCACCACTCAAAAGACTTACACCTGCTTGGGACCAACTTCTGCATTTAGCTTGGAGCCACTGGCACTTCATGCCATTGGGGCTTCCATGTCCCCCTTTTAACCCTTCCTACTGGCCATACTGGGGGCCCTGGGGCCAGTACCGCTCTGCAGAATCTCTCAAGTCTGCTAGAGAGTCACTCCTTGCCTCCTCGTGATGGAGACACTCTGTTCCCCCCCAGATCCTTCAGAGGAGGAAGAGCAATACGCACTGGATCCAGCAGTTCTGCCAGAACCAGCAAGACTGCTATCTTTGTCTCTGGACGAATTGGTAACCCCCATGTCTCCCTCCCTCCCCGCAATGAATTCAGGCAGTTCCAGGATCTTCATTGTAGGGTTGCTGGAGAACTACAGATTCCTCATGAAGAGTTTCAGGAATCCCAGCACAAACTCCTTGACATCCTCCACCCATCTGGATCCAACAAAATAGTGCTCCCCATAAACTAAGCTATAATGGAGCCAATGAAGGCTGTTTGGCACATTCCTGCCACCTGTGCTTCCATCCCCAATTGGGTGGAAAAATGTGCGCCAGCCAAAGGGGCTGAAATTTTGTTTTCTCACCCTCCTCCCAACTCTGGTTTAGGCAGCTTCTGAAAGGGCTAGAGAGCAACACCCACAGTCTGCTCCTGCAGACAAAGAGAGTACGTGCCCAGACTTATTGGGGAGAAAGGTCTTCTTGTCATCTAATCTCCAGTTCAGGATAGCCAACTGCCAGCCATTAATGGTCAAGTGCGACTTCCTGAACTACTATAAGTTCGCGGAGTTCACCGACAGTCTTCCACTACGGACAGAGTTTGTTTCCAGGCATTGATAGACAAAGTCAAACTAATAGCCAAGACTGCCCTCCAATACAGAGTCGATGCCACTGACATATCCTCTAGAGCCATGGCTACTACCGTTGTCATGTGCAGAGTCATGGCTCCATGTGACAAGGTTCCCTTGAGAGGTCCAGAATACTGTGGAGGAACTCCCCTTCGATGAATCACAATTACTCAGTCAGAAGATGGATGAATTCCTTAATAGTTTGAAGGACTCTAGGGCTATCCTCCACTCTCTGGGGACATATACACCTGCTCCCAAGAGAAAGTTCCATCAACAATCATCTAGACCTAGACGTGTGGCTCAACAGTTTTTTCATCAGATGCCCTATGAAGCAGAATGTTCAAAGGACTCACTTCCCTGCACCTTTTGCAACAGGCTTGGCCTCCCAATCTCAACCCCCCAGTGAGGCACAATTTTTGAAGGGACCATGGGAGCTGTGAACCACTAGGCCAAACATTGTCCGACCTTCACATGCCTTTTGTAGGTTGTCTGGCACTCTCTCAACCCCTAGAATGTAGTAACAGACCAATGGGTGCTGAACGTCATCTGTGCTGGCTATGTGATTGAGTTTGCATTCCTATCTCCTCCCTCTTTAGGGACTACTCTCACAAGACTATTCTCAAGCAAGAGGTGGACTACCTATTGGAGGAAGGAGTGATAGAACATGTCCCCCCTAGATACCAAGGAAGCAGCTCTTACTTGACGACCTTTTTATACCCCAAAAGAAGGTGCTTCCTCAGATTCATGATGGGCCCTGACCATTCTCATTACAGAGTGCTCCCTTTTGGCATAGTGACCACCCCCAAAGTCTTTACCTCGACAACTGGCTCCTTATTGGTAAGTCATACCAGAAGGCCCATGCATCAACTCTAATGATGCTACACTTCCTCTTCAACTAATAGCTTTCTTGGACAGGGTAACAAGCCTTGTGGATGGGGGAAAGCGGTAGATGTGGTGTATCTTGACTTTAGTGAGGCTTTTGATACTGTCTTGTATGACCTTCTCATAAACAAACTAGGGAAATACAATCTAGATGGAGCTACTATAAGATGAGTGCATAACTGGTTGGAAAACTGTTCCCAGAGAGTAGTTATCAGTGGTTCACAATCAAGCTGGAAGGGCATATCAAGTAGGGTCCCATAGGGATGAGTTCTGGGTCCAGTTCTGTTCAAAAATTTTCCTTGATGATTTAGCTAATGGCACAGAGAGTACACTTATAAAGTTTGCGGACGATACCAAGCTGGGAGGGGTTGCAAGTGCTTTGGAGGATAAGATTAAAATTAAAAACAATCTGGACAAACTGGAGAAATGGTCTGACGTAAATAGGATGAAATTCAATAAGGACCAATGCGAAGTACTCCACTTAGGAAGGAACAATCAGTAGCATGCATACAAAATGGGAAATGACTGCCTAGGAAGGAGTACTGAAGAAAGTGATCTGAGGGGTCACAGTGAATCACAAGCTAAATATGAGTCAACAATGTAACACTGTAGCAAAAAAAATGAACATCATCCTGGGATGTATCAGCAGGAGTGTTGTAAGCAAGACACGAGAAGTAATTCTTCCATTCCCCTCTACTCTGTGCTGATTAGGCCTCAACTAGAGTATCGTGTCCAGTTCTGGGTGCCACATCTCAGGAAATATGTGGACAAATTGGAGAGAGTCCAGAGAAGAGCAACAAAAATGATTAAAGGTCTAGAAGACATGACCTATGAGGAAAAATTGAAAAAATTGGGTTCATTTAGGCTGGAAAAGAGAAGACTGAGAGGGGACAAATTGTTCTTGTTAACTTCTGAGGTTAGGACAAGAAGCAATGGGCTTAAATTGCAGCAAGAGAGGTTTAGGTTGAACATTAGGAAAAACTTCCCAACTGTCAAGGTGGATAAGCACTGGAATAAATTGCCCAGGGAGGTTGTGGAATCTCCATCCTTGGAGATTTTTAAGAGCAGGTTGGACAAACCCCTGTCAGGGATGGTCTAGATAATACTTAGTCCTGCCATGAGTGCAAGGGACTGGGCTAGACGACCTCCCGAGGTCCCTTTCAATCCTGTGATTCAATGATTCTTCCCTGGGGGTCAGTGTAAACGCTGCAAAACCATTCTCACCCTCCAAAATCCAGTAGGACACGGCACAGGTTATCCTGATCACTCTCTGCTGGTCCAGACGGTTTTGGTTTCTGAATTTTCTGCACATGTCATTCTGAATGCCAATCATCCTCCCAACATTCCCCAGACCCCTGACTCAGCAGAATGGCAAGATCAAGCACCCCAATCTGTATTTTCTTCATCTCGGGGCTTGGTTTTTGGGTGGATGTCGTTCTTGAAAGATGCATGTTCTGCAGCAATACGAGACGTACTTTCTAATGGTAGGAAGGATTCCACTAGATGATTTCTCCTGGCTAAATGGAGAGATTTTTCTTCTTGGGCACCTCCGATATCTCTCATTTTAGACTATACCTTTTCTCTAAAGATGTCAGGCCTATCCATCAGCTTCTTGTGAGTCCACCTGGCAGTGATTAGTGCATACTGTCCTCCTTTTCAGGGTTACTTGGTCTTTGCTCACCCATTGACCACCAGATTGTGGAAAGGCCTATTTGGAACCTTTCTGACTATTCACAAGCCTACCCTTGAGTGGGACTTGAACCTTGTTCTCTCAGCATTTACCAGGTCACGCTTTGACCCTCTAGCTTCCTGCTTCATGTCTCTTCGCTCCATGAAAGTTGCATTCATAGAAGCATAGACTATCAGGGTTGGAAGGGACCTCAGGAGGTATCCAGTCCCACCCCCTGCTCAAAGCAGGACCAATCCCCAACTAAATCATCCCAGCCAGGGCTTTGTCAAGCCTGACCCTTAAAAACCTCTCAGGATGGAGATTCCACCACCTCCCTAGGTAACCCATTCCAGTGCTTCACCACCCTCCTAGTGAAATAGTTTTTTCTAATATCCAACCTAAACCTCCCCCACTGCAACTTGAGACCATTGTCACCTCAGCCAGAAGGGTTGGCGAACTTGGAGTGATGATGGTGGCTCCTCCTTACACTGCATTCCATAAAGATAAGGTTTTATGTTTACACCCCAAATTCACTCCCAAGGTTGTCTTGGAATTTCACTTGGACCATTCAATCCACTTACCTGTGCTCTTCCCTAACTGCACACTTCCTCAGAGGGACAGAAACTCCACACCTTCAATGTTTGGCAGGCCTTAGCCTTTTACCTACACAGAACAAGACCAATCAGTAAGTCCCCAAGACTATTTGTTGCTATAACAGAAAGACTCGGTGGACAAGCGATCTCGACTCACAGGATCTCCAAATCGATCTCGGGCTGCGTTCTACTGTTACCAAATATTGAGCCTCTCTCCCACATGGGGGAAGAGCTCATTCCACGAGAGCACAAGCCGCAACTATGGCATCTCTTTAGGATGTTATCCTCCTTGGTATCTATAATCCAGCCACGTGGGGCTCTGTTCACACTTTTACGAGACACACTGCCCTAGTCCAGGACTCCTCTGCTGATGCCTCCTTTGGAACAGCAGTCCTTTGCTCAGCCCTATCATCAACATCCTCGCACCCTCCTCCTACTTAAGTACCGCTTGTTAATTACCCACAGTGGAATACAATAGGGACCATCACTCTAAGAGGAGGTTACTTACCTGTAACTAGAGGTTCTTTGAGATGTGTAGTCCCTATTCAACTATCTGCTCACCTTCCTCTCTGCTTTGGATCGCCTCCGATTCACAGTGGAGAAGGAACTGGAGAGGCGGGCGGTCCACATTGTCCTTTATCCCCTTGGTTGGAGAGACAAGGTGATCCAGGGGGCATGCATGGACCAGTGGACGCTACTTTCAAATTCTCCAGTTCCAGGCACATAGTGCACATGTGTAACTCACAGTAGAATACAGATAGGGACCACACATCTTGAAGAACCTTCAGTTATCAGTAAGTAACCTCCTGTTCCTTTAAGTTACTTCCTTTGGCAACCTTGTCATTCCTGACCCTGAACAGCATTGACATTCCAATAAAACAACAATGTGCAGGTCACATGCAGCTTCAGCTTTTGGTTGCAGTTGGAACTTTGGTTTTTTTAAATGATATCGCCTGTTCTGGGTATAATCTCATTTCTCCCCTTTCTTCTTTACTTAGATGAGTAATTTGCAAAGAGAGAAAGATATGAAGCTTCGTGACATTAGTCTGATATGCGTTCAGTCCCGAAATAGGTTTTCCAAACAGCGGATTTGGGTGGATTTCAACAACGGCCTTCAGGTAGGAATCCATGGGAACACCACCTCTGTCTCTGCAGAAGGGGGGACAGCACTTCCGGGCCACTATCTGGATTTCGCAAAAAGAACAGGAGTACTTGTGGCACCTTAGAGACTAACAAATTTATTAGAGCATAAGCTTTCGTGGGCTACAACCCACTTCTTCGGATGCATATTGAGTGAAACATATATCGAGGAGATATATATACACACATACAGAGAGCATGAACAGGTGGGAGTTGTCTTACCAACTCTGAGAGGCCAATTAAGTAAGAGAAAAAAAACTTTTGAAGTGATAATCAAGGTAGCCAAGTACAGACAGTTTGATAAGAAGCAAGTGTGAGAATACTTACAAGGGGAGATAGATTCAATGTTTGTAATGGCTCAGCCATTCCCAATCCCTATTTAGCCCTGAGTTGATTGTGTCTAGTTTGCATATCAATTCCAGCTCAGCAGTCTCTCGTTGGAGTCTGTTTTTGAAGTTTTTCTGTTTTAAGATAGCCACCCGCAGGTCTGTCATAGAATGGCCAGACAGGTTAAAGTGTTCTCCCACTGGTTTTTGAGTATTATGATTCCTGATGTCAGATTTGTGTCCATTAATTCTTTTGCGTAGAGACTATCTGGATTTCGCTGCTCTTACGTTATCAGTGGATGCAGTGAACCAGAACTGAAATCTGAAATGTCAACCTTCACAGAAAAGTTAAAGGGAATCCATACGTTTTTGGTGCTACCACTCCTTTAATCTGAATTGCTGATGTTTCTATATGTACTACTAATGAATGGTTAGGGCACCTTTTTAATGAGAAGCACATTATCTAGTAGAGGGCAACTCTGTGTTTTTGTTTGGCTAATTTCAGGAGACGAGTCGTACGTTCATCCATAAATTGCCATTATGACTTTCTGAATAACACAGGCCAGAGAACCGCACCAAATGCAGCTTGTGGTTGAACTAGCACATATCTCTTAGAAAGACAAGAAATGCTCATTCTAGTGTCTAAACTAGATGTTAGCTAAAGCCTCTGCAGCTGATCAACCAGTCTACTTTGAGTAGGGGTGCAATGGAGGCTGTTCTTTGTTGCAGGAAATGAGAAGGAAAGCAGCATTTGCTGAAGATGAGGAAGAAGAGGAGACTGAGGATGAAGAGTTAACTACTTCATACACAAGTGACCCTGGTGAAGTTGAATCCCAGCATGGGAAACTTCAGGTTTTCACAGTCAGCTCTACAGAATATCTAAAATTGCATGGAAAACTGCTCCGAGATGGTCAGCCGCAAGTCTTCCACAATGAGGAGGATACAGGTATTAACACCTGCTAACTTGAGCTCAAGTATCATGCTGCTGAGTTAGTGGTCTGTTGTCTTAATTGCTCACTAATACAATGATCCACCCCCTGTAACTTTGAGGTCAGTTTCAGTGTGTTCTCCCTGGTACATGGCCAATAGACATTGCAGCTATCACTTTTGTTTTATATCTTATTATTTAAAAATATCTCTACATCAAGTTATGATAGTTTTTGCAACAAAATGTTTCCCATCACTGTTTTCCTAGTCCTCTTCCCCAAGTCTTCCTTTTCATATTTTGTCTGATAACTAGGTGTTTGTACAGAGCCTGGCACAATGGGGTCCTGATTATGATTGAGGCCTCTGAGTACTAATGTAACATAAATAATTTCTGAGGAAGAGGGTCCATGCAGGGGAATGGTCATGTTCTCTTGTCTCTTTGTCCAGAAATACCAGCTCTGAAGAAGTTTGCCATTCACACTGCCTTGCAGCATAGCATGGTGGCAACAGAGAAGGTGATCAGAAATGTGGCTCGTGTCATAAGTCAAGTGGTCAATTATCTGACCAATCAGAGAGCAGAGGTAAGCATGCACTAACATTTTTAACTTACTTTTATTTGGGTTGAGCAACTATTAAAAGTTCCCTCAAAACTGATAGGTATTTGCAAATGCATAATATGGAATAGACCAGGGGTTCTCAAACTTCATTACTCCGTGACCCCCTTCTGACAACAAAAATTACTACACAACCCCAGGAGGGGGCACCGAAGCCTGAGCCCCACAATCCCAGGCAATATGTCTATTCCAGCGGTTCTCAAACTGTGGGTCGGGACCCCAAACTGGATCGGGACCCCGTTTTAATGGAGTCACCAGGGATGGCGTTAGACTAGCTGGAGCCTGAGCCTCACTGCCTGGGGCCAAAACCAAAGCCTGAGCCCCATCACCCTGGGCGGGGGGACCAAAGCCGAAACCTAAGGGCTTCAGCCCCAGGCGGCGGGCCGTTACCTGAGCCTTGCCAACCAGGGCTGAAGCCCTGGGGCTCCAGCTTCAGCCCTGGGCCCAAGAAGTCTAACGCCATCCCTGGTGACTCCATTAAAATGGGGTTCCGACCCAGTTTGGCGTCCCAACCCACAGTTTGAGAACCGCTGGAATAGACACATTGCAGTGACTTGTATGGACTCTAGGTTTATTGCATGATACACGTTGCTGGCTGTTAGTGCTATTCTCCTGTGTCCTACTCAAGATGGAGAAGAAATGCGGGAATGGCAGCTAGCAAAATGAACAGTATGGCCTAGTAGACTCCTGCTTAATAATATACATATTTAGGGAACTGAAGAGACTGTCTTCTTACTTCTACTTCTCTCTCTTTGCAGCACAAGTCCTGCGTTTCTCTCTTTAAAATACAAAGATTAATTTTAACTTGTTTAATGCATTTCACATTGACTGACTGACTTCTAGTACCTAATCCGAATGGAACTCCTCTGTGACAGCAATGATGGCAGACAATGGGCAGTCATTAGTTTGAACCAAAGACAAACTCATACATGAGAAAAAATTTTAACTACAGTAGAACCTCAGAATTATGAACACCTTGGGAATTGAGGTTGTTTGTAACGCTGAAATGTTCGTAACTCTGAACAAAACAGTATACAACTGAACATTGACTTAATACCGCTTCGAAACTTTACCATGCAGAAGAAAAATGCTGCTTTCCCTTTATTTTTTTTTTAGTAATTTAACACAGTACTGTACTTGCTTTTTTGGAGGGAGGGTGGGGGGTCCTCTGCTGCTGCCTGGTTGTGTACTTCCGATTCCGAATGAGGTGTTGACTGGTCACTTGGTAACTCTGAGGTACTGCTGTACGCCATTGTTCTCGGTCCAGTACTGGCCTGTGAAGCTTACTTGTTAGATGGGTCCAATAGGGCCACTTTGTAGCAGTGTGAGGAAAGCAAAGGTATTTTATCGTGTCACTAAACCAGGGGATGCCAGAGTGCATTCTCTGAGCCATATCCAGCTCCAAAAATTCTGAAGTGCAACCTGTGGCCACTTTATTGTTCTTACTATGGAGATATGGCCAGAAGACTGCAGGTCCTAGCATATGAGGTGTGGCCTGAATGCTTGGCTCAGTATGAATCACTTCTGGCTGAGACCTATGGTTTCTGTAGGCTGTACCTCTTTGTTAAAGATGTGGGTGGCTAAGTAGCTGTATCTCTTTGGCTTATGGCATCTTGCTGCTGCTGCCCTGTGTTGTGCTGCCTTTGAATGTAATGCAGGGTGCCCACATATCTGATGTGTGCATGCTTTTATGGTCCCTGGATCTTCCACTGGAGAGATGTGGAGACTTACTGGATGTAGGTTTGTATGCAGTGTTGTAGCTGCGTCGGTCCCAGGATATTAGAGACAAGGTGGGTGCGGTAATATCTTTTATTGGACCAGCTTCGGTTAGTGAGAGAGACAAGGTTTTGAGCTTACACGGATACCTGAAGAAGAGCTCTGTGTAATTAAGAAGCTTGTCTTGCTCACCAACAAAAGTTGGTCCAGTAAAAGAGATTACTGCATCCAACTGGTGTCTCTGGATGTAGATCTAGTAGGCCAGCAGAGCTGTGGGTTCTGTACGAAGTTAGCTCTAAGTCATGTTCTTTAATTCTTCCAGGTGCTACTTAGCCAACATCCTGTGACCTGAAGCAATGTAGCAGGAGGCCCACGTTGATTGCTTGCATTGTGTGCAGGTCTCTGGATGCTTTTGAAGCACCTGGCAGAGCTCAGCGGGGTGTAGATGGCCTCATGTACCTGTTGCACTGAGAGCTTTTTACGTTGCCCTGTTAGGATCTTCTCTGTTTGCCTTTCAGGACAATTCTCACCGGGCCCAGGTCCAAGAAATCGTGCAGGAGTGCCTGTCGAGACTACCCATGCTCCTTCAGGAGGCAGTGGAAGACAGCCTCCATGACATCCAGTACTATTTTTCTGTCCTCATTCTCGCCAATCTAAAGAAAGGAGCCAGAAGGGCAGAGGAGCTGTGCGAAGACAAAGTCCGAAGTTGGGGTTTACCTGTAAGATACGTGCTTCTGTTTGCCAAACCCTCTCCTAGGCTGTCACTGCCAACCCCCTTGCCAACCTGCCTGCCTCCCAAGCTTGGTGCTGCCTTTCACTGCACTTACATGATAGTACCCCTGTGCTCTCCATGTACTGTGTTCTGTACAAAGCCACATATAAAATTATGCTAATGCGGATCTATGTTGGAGGGCTGTGATGAGGACTATCTAGTGTTTTTTTGCATCACTCTAAAATTGCTATGTAACTGGGGTGGGGTGTTGGTGGTGGTAGTTTAAGGAAAGAATCTACGCATCGGAGTGGATGGGCTCCACCTAAACCAAAATGGAACCAGGTTGCCGGATCTTAAAATAAAAAAGGTCGTAGAGCAGTTTTTAAACTAGGGTCTGGGGGAAAGCTGACAGGTGCGGAGGAGCATGTGGTTCAGACAGAGACATCGCTTAGGGGAGGATCTGTTAATGGGTATTCTCTGTATCCTTGTAAGGAGGAGAGGATGGAAGATAAAATGTGAGTAAGATCTGATGAGAAACAGTCAAATGAAAGAGACCCATTCAGTTACATCTCGTAATGGCAGACAGCTAAAAAGTGACGTTTTTAAGTGCTTGTATACAAATGCCAAAAGTCTATAAATAATAAGATGGGTGAACTAGAGTGCCTCGTATTAAATGAGGATATTGATATAATAGGCATAACTTGGTGGAACAAGGATCAGTGGGACACAGTAATACCAGGGTACAAAATATCTCAGAAGGACAGAACAGGACATGCTGGTGGGGGAGTGGCATTATATGTGAAAGAAAGTGTAGAATCAAATGAAATAAAAATCTTAAATGAACTAAACTGTCCCATAGAATCTCTATGGATAGTAATTCCATGCTTGAATAATAAGAATATAGCAGAAGGGATATACTACCGACCACCTGACCAGGATGGTGCTAGTGACTATGAAATGCTCAGGGAGATTAGAGAGGCTATAAAAATAAAAAACTCCATAATAATAATAATGGGGGGGTTTCAGCTGTCCCCATATTGACTGGATACATGTCACCTCAGGATGGGATGCAGAGATAAAGTTTCTTGACACCTTAAATGACTGCTTCTTGGAGCAGCTGGTCCTGGAACCCACAAGCGGAGAGGCAATTCTCCATTTAGTTCTAAGTGGAGCACAGGATCAGGTGCAAGAGGTGATTATAGCTGAACTGCTTGGTAATAGAGACGATAATATAATTAAATTTAACATCCCTGTGGCGGGGGAAACACCACAGCAGCCCAACACTGTAGCATTTAATTTCAAAAAGTGGAACTACACAAAAATGAGGAAGTTAATTAAACAGAAATTAAAAGGTACAGCGCAAAAAGTGAAATCCCTACAAGCTGCATGGAAACTTTTTAAAGACACCATAATAGAGGCTCAACTTAAATGTATACCCCAAATTAAAAAACATAGAGAACCAAAAAAGTGCAACTGTGCTTAAACAACAAAGTAAAAGAAGCAGTGAGAGGCAAAAAGGAATCCTTTAAAACGTGGAAGCTAAATCCTATTGAGGAAAATAGAAAGGAGCATAAACTCTGGCAAATGAAGTGTAAAAATATAATTAAGAAGGCCAAAAAAGAATTTGAAAAACAGCTAGCCAAAGACTCAAAGTAATAGCAAAAAATTTTTTTAACTACATCAGAAGCAGGAAGCCTGCTAACAACCAGTGGGACCATTGGATGATTGAGATGTTAAAGGGGAACTCAAGGCCGATAAAGCCATTGCGGAAAAATTAAATGAATTCTTTGCATCGGTCTTCAGGGCTGAGGATGTGAGAGAGATTCCCAAACCTGAGCCATTCTTTTTAGGTAACAAATCTGAGGAACTGTCCCAGATTGAGGTGTCACAGAGGAGGTTTTGGAACAAATTGATAAACTAAACAGTAATAAGTCATCAGGTATTCACCCAAGAGTTCTAAAGACACTCAAATGTGAAATTGCAGAACTACTAAGTGTGGTATGTAACTTATCATTTTAATCTGCTTCTGTACTAGATGACTGGAGGGTAGCTAATGTGATGCCAATTTTTAAAAAAGGCTCCAGAGGTGATCCTGGCAATTACAGGGCGGTAAGCCCTAACTTCAGTATCAGGCAAACTAGTTGAAACTGTAGAAAAGAATAGAATACCAGAGACACAGATGAACATGATTTGTTGGAGAAGAGTCAACATGATTTTTGTAAAGGGAAATCATGCCTCACCAATCTACTAGAATTCTTTGAGGGGGTCAACAAGCATGTGGACAAGGGGGCTCCAGTGGATATAGTGTACTTAGATTTTCAGAAAGCCTCTGACAAGGTCCCTCACCAAAGGCTCATAAGCAAAGTAAGCAGTCATGGGATAAGAGGGAAGGCCCTCTCATGGATTTGTAACTGATTAAAAGAGAGGAAAGAGTAGGAATAAATGGTCAGTTTTCATAATGGAGAGAGGTAAATAGTGGTGTCCCCCAGGGGTCTATACTGGGGCCAGTGCTGTTCTACATATTCATAAATGATCTGGGAAAAGGGATAAACAGTGAGGTGGCAAAATTTGCAGATGATGCAAAACTACTCAAGATAGTTAAGTCTAAAGCAGACTGAGAAGCGCTACAAAGGGATCTCACAAAACTGGGTGAATGGGCAAAAAAATGGCAGATGAAATTCAATGCTGATAAATGCAAAGTAATGCACAATGGAAAACATCATCCCAACTATACATATAAAATTATGGGTCTAAATTAGCTGTTACCCCTCAAGAAAGAGATTTTGGAGTCATTGTGGATAGTTCTCTGAAAACATCCACTCAATGTGCAGGGGCAGTCAAAAAAACAAACAGAATGTTGGGAAGCATTAAGAAAGGGATAGATAAGACAGAAAATATCATATTGCCTCTATATAAATCCATAGTACGCCCACATCTTGAATGCTGTGTGCAGATGTGGTCGCCCCATCTCGAAAAAGATATTATTGGAATTGGAAAAAGGTTCAGAAAAGGGCAACAAAAATTATTAGCGGTATGGAACAGCTTCCCTATGAGGAGAGATTAATAAGACTGGGACTTTTCAGCATGGAAAGGAAACAACTAAGTGGGGATATGATAGAGGTCTATAAAATCATGACTGGTGTAGAGAAAGTAAATAAGGAAGTGTTGTTTACTCCTCATAACACAAGAACTAAGGGTCATCCAATTAAATTAATAGGCAGCAGGTTTAAAACAAACATAAGGAAGTATTTCTTCACACAGTGCAGTCAACCTGTGGAACTCCTTGCCAGAGGATGTTGTGAAGGCCAAGACTATAACAGGGTTCAAAAAAGAACTAGATAAATTCATGAAGGATAGGTTCATCATTGGCGTTAGCCAAGATGGGCAGGAATGGTGTCCCTAGTCTCTGTTTGCCAGAAGTTGGGAATTGGCGATAGGGGATGGATCACTTGATGATTACCTGTTCTGTTCATTCCCTCTGGGGCACCTGGCATTGACCACTGTGGATACTGGGCTAGTTGGACCTTTGTTCTGACCCAGTATGGCCGTTCTTAGTAAATACCTGTGGAAGGAAAGGGCAGCGCTGGCACTCTCATTCCACTGAAATGAAAAAAATTCCAAGGGCTGTTAGCAAAAATGTATATTTCTCTATGTAGATGGTGTAGACTTTTTAGTCATGTAAGGTTTTGTGGGTAATAAAGATTGTTAGCTGCTATAGCTCAGTTAATGACTAATTGTGCTAAGATGTGTTTCATTTACTGCCACTGTTTTCTTCACCTCTCCCAGTTAAATAGCATCTTGCATTTTAAAAATGTTGCACGAACACTAGTAAATCTACACAGCCATTTGTTAGTTTCATCCATCTGCCAGTTTCACTTGTAATCTAGATTGCTGAATTTTGTATTAAGTGCTTTTGTACCGTGCCTGCCACAATGAAGCTTTGATTGGAGCCCTTAACCACTACCTGAATACAAATAATATAAAATTGTATGGGTGCTGCACTCCTACCTGTTAGTCTGCTCACTGTTCTAGTGTATCTCACACCACCTCCCTGTAAACTATTCTGTATTGGCACTTAGCCTTCTTATTTCTTTGGGGAACAGCATCTAGTAGCCCGTAAGTGGGCAAGGAATTGTCATAGTAAGTTGACTATACCTTTTGAGTTGCTCTTTTTATTTGTATTACTTTACAGCACTCAGAAGCTAAATCCTACACGGTCAGTGCCTTGCACAGTTACGATATGGTCATCCCAAAAGTGCATTTCTCACCTGTGAGCAACCAAAGAACATATTCGTGTCTTAGAGTTGAACTGCTGTCTCCTGTGTACTTTGAAATACTGTGACAGACCCTCTCTCTCCTTGCTTTCCACTTCACAGGTTATTGGATACCCCTATGCTACGTACCGAGCTCTGTGTGCTCGTCAAGGTGTCTACAGCTCTGTAGCATGTGGGTTTGTTGATTTCAATGAGCAACTCACAGAGCCAATATCCAGTGCAATCTCCGTGACCTGGAATGACGTCTTCAGGTACCCTCCTCTTCACTGCACATTAGGGCATTCTTACTAACACAAGACACTTGCAAACCTCCCTGGTATAAAAACAAACACAATTTTGTGCTGTCTGCCAAAAACTGTGAGATGAGCTGGTGCAAAATGCATGGCCTCTGTTCTCTAATGTCCTCAGGCCACTTTATTCCATGGGTGAAATATCATCTCAGCATTTGATACAGGGAATGGCAAAACTTCATGATTTCGTCCCCTGAGGGGCTGAGCCTTCCAATTCATTGCCTGTCTCCCAAAAGGTGGAGATCACCCCATGGCTGATTTAGTGTCTAATTTGCATTGCTTCCTAAATGGGAAAGGATTAGTTATGTACTTTTTTGTAGTTTTGTATTAAATTATATCCCACAGTCCCCAGTCTTGCAACCAAATGCCAGAGTGCTGGTGCAGAGCCCAGTTTTCTTAAGTGCAGTTGCAGAATTGGGGCCATATTCTCCAGTCACTTCTTGCAGAAACGTATTCAATTACTATTTTAAAAATACAGTCTTTGTACACTGTATCTACATACTAGTTATAACTTGTATTGTAATGCAAGTCTTAACAAGGATGAAAGTGTTAAATTCTGAAACTCTTATTAAGTGAACATAAAATTTACTAATCGTTTGGAGAATAATATTAATATGGAGTAATAGTACTTATTTAAAATCTCTTCCTATGAATTAAGAAATCAATGACTTGTAGCCTATGTGATCCAAACTTTTTAACAGTAGATCCATAATATAAATTGCCATACTGGATCAGATCAGTGGTCCATCTTTTATCGGTACTAATACACAGCTTCATTAACAAGTGTAAAGTGCTTTGAGATCCTCTGATGGAAGCTGTTATAGAAATAGGAAAGCCCAGGACAGAAACAGACTGATGTGATGCAGCAGGGGTTCCCTGAAAGGACACCTCGCATTTGTAGTGGGACTTTAGACCCTGTGGAAAAAAATGCAGATGTTTCATAGAACATATTTCTCTGGACATAACTTCATCATTTGGTCATCAGTCTGATCCCACCATTGTATCTCCTCCAATAGCAGTATAAGTGCATGGTGAGCAAGCCCCCAATGCCCCTTTTGGCATTGCAGCATGTTACTCATGCCCTTCGGTACCTGGATTAATCCTTGAATGCATTTCTCCCCTTCCAGTTGTAAATTGGGGGAGTCCATCAAACAGTTCAGCAAAGCCATCTTAGATAAATTGAAGTACTTCTTCAAAGATCTCAAGAACAAGCTCCAGGAAAAAGGCAGAAACGCAGAGCCAGTAAACGTCATTCAGAGGCATCAAATGGAAGCTGTCCAGGCTTTGGTAAGATTGGCAAGGGGGTCCGTGCAGTGGATACCCTTCAGAACTTGTCTGTTTTGTGTTGGGTAAATATGGTGAGGATGCCTCACGATTTGCAGTTTGGCCTGCACTATAGGGAATCTGCAAATGCTCAAGTAATGTAACTGTCTTGAGTAATGGGCAAGTTTTGGTAAGCAGCCACTTTATTTGAAATGAGAACTTTTTGTAGCATACCATACTGATTTTTCCTTCTTCCACTTCCCAGTTGTGTAACTTTCTCCTGGATCAGACCGAGTACATCAATAAAAGGCAGCGTGGTATATCCCGTGTCCTGACACCAGAAATACAGGCTAGCATGAAACCAATATATGCAGGTAGGAAAATCCTACAGCTGGGCTAAGTCTGGCTTCCTGTGCATTGAGAACCAAATTGTAGCAGTGACACTAACCATCTGTGCAATGGTGAATTCTGCCAGTTAGTACTGGAAAGAATGGTTCCCAAGCTGGTAGTTTGAAAATCTGTATGGTGGTAGAGTCACCACACTACTCCTCCTGATGAATCCGCTTTTCCCACTTTTATTTCTTAAATTTCAAAGGCCCTAGCTCAAAGAGATCACTTTAAATTCTTATTCTTGAGCAGCCAAATAATAATGTTGTGTATTTGTAGATCACTTAGCATCTTCAAAAGGGAGAGAAGGAGCGGAGAATGAAATTCCACAGCAGTGCTGCAGAACTGCACAGAGCTAGAGCTGGAGTCTGTCACAGCAATGTAGTAGCACCCAGGTGTGGTGCATGCCTCCATCTGACAGTGAAATCTGACACTGAAAACATCCACTCAGTGTGCAGTGGCAGTCAAAAAAAGCAAACAGTGTTGGGAATCATTAAGAAAGGCATTGATAATAAGACAGAAAATATCATATTGCCTCTATAAATTTATGGTACACCCACATCTTGAATACTACGTGCACACGTGGTTGCCCTATCTCAAAAAAGATATATTGGAATTAGAAAAGGTTCAGAAAAGGGCAACAAAAATGATTAGCGGTCTGGAACAGCTTCCGTCTGAGGAGAGATTAATAAGACTGGGATTTTTCAGCTTGGAACAGAGACAACTAAGGGCATATAAGATAGAGGTCTATAAAATCATGACCGGTGTGAAGAAAGTAAATAAGGAAGTCTTGTTTACTCATAACACAAGAACTAAAGGTCACCAAATGAAATTAATAGGCAGCAGGTTTAAAACAAACAAAAGGAAATATTTCTTCGCACAACATACAGTCAACCCGTGGAACTCCTTGCCAGAGGATGTTGTGAAGGCCAAGACTATAACAGGGTTCAAAAAAGAACTAGATACATTCATGGAGGATAGGTCCATCAATGGCTATTACCCAGGATGGGCAGGGATGGTATCCCTTGCCTCTGTTTGCCACCTGCATTACTGACCCTCTTCAGCTGTGATGAAGCAGCAAATTGTATGCTTTGGATGTTAGGGGCCACACCAAAATGAGTCTCTGGGAACTTTATAAAGGACTTCAGAGACACTGCAGTGATTCCTTCCTATGGTGGCATGTATGAAGGGATCAACATATAAAACCCTGGCTTTTTTTTCTGTGCTCATGACTCCCCCTACTGACTCGCTGCAGAGCATGCAATGTGCTGCTTCATCACAGCTAAAGAGGGTCAGTAATGCAGGTAGCAGAGGTTTGTATGTTTGGTGCTGAACATCCGGAGTTTAATCCACGGTGACAGTTATGTCGTCTGTATATATGCAGCTGTGGTTTGCAGTAAAAGCACTAGGGATGTGCTCAGGCTCATGACCACAAAGCTCCTCCTGGCTGTGTAGTTCAGTCTGTATGGTCTACAAGCTAAATATATCAGAGTTTTGCAATGAAGATTGTGTCCCACCTTATCTTCAGTGTACAGCCCTGTTTCTCATGCAAGCTTTGCTCCCCTTGTTCCCGAGAGAGAGAACTTCTCTCCTCATGACAGCTTGGGGCTTCACGAATAATAAGGCTGTCTAGGGCCTTCAATGCCGTCCCAACATGCAATTTAGTATGGCCACTTGGATCAAAATGAAGCAGCATATGTTGGGACCAGAGGCAATACGTGTGTGTGTGGGGGGGGGGGGAGAGACAGGGACATGTAGGGTCATGTGCCCCCTCCAGATTGCTTGATCACATGGTATGGTCGGGCCTCCTCCCTGCAGGACAGCTGAGCAGGCAGGGAGAGGCAGGAGGAACAGCTGGGATCTGCAGGGAGGGGCACTGCTTCCTGGGAGGGAGGCACTGCTGGGGTGGGGGACATGACTTGAGCTGTTCCAGGGTTGTGACCCCCTCCACTATCAACAGGTCTGGGTCGTCTCTGGTTGGGACCTGCCGTCTCTGTAGGCCACACCTCTATTAGATTGCAGTTTCCATTTTAGTAGTCATTGTGTGGCACCAGGCATCCTGACAGATTACCATTCCAGCCATTGGTTGAGTAGCAGGTGGGCAAGGCTGCACCAACACTTGTGAGATTATGTGCTGACATTTAAATACCATCCCTCTCCCGTAGTTTGTAGCCAACTGAATGGTCCTGGCTGTTTCCAGAGAATGAAAGATCTTATGCAGAGGCACGTCCACAATCAGAAAGAGACCATGTTTAACCGTGTCACTGATAAGTTACGGCACCAACTTGACCTGCTCCAGGTGAGATGAAACAGAATTAGCACTCTTCTGGAAAGCAGCTGGCCTTGTACAATGTGATATAACTGCTGCCTCTCAGGTCACGGGACCATGCTGTTTTGTATGACTTGGAAGAAGCATTGTAGCTTTTCCATTTGCAGTTAAGTAGCAAGAATGGCAGCCAGTATTCGAAGTGGACCCCTCCCGTTCTGTTTAGTTTGACTCTCGTTGCAGTATTTACTGGGGTTTTAGCCCTGGTGCGATTCCAGTGCTATTAATAATCATGCTTAGTGTGGAGAAGGGAGAATAATTTGCAAGAAACTGTGACTGGATGGAAAGTTTTCTACTGTCTGTGAAAGATTTTGTGTGAAACACCTATAGACCAGCTTAGTGCAGGATGCCTCCTTGAAGTGAGTCTATATGAGGACAATACCATAGGGCAGTGGTCCCCAGTGCGGTGCCCGTGGGTGCCATGGCGCCCACCGGGGCATTTATATGCGCCAGCCTACTGACAAGGGAACGCCCCGCCACCGAGGAGCACGGCCGCCGGACAAGCAGCTGCCGAAACGCCACTGGCATTTCGGCAGCAACACTTCTTGACATTGCCGCTTCTCGGCGGCTGCTTGTCCGGCAGCTGCGCTCCTTGGCGGCATTTCGGCACCTGGTCGTCCGGTGCCACACTGAAAGGTTGGGGACCACTGCCGTAGGGCTACATATCATGATTGCTGTCTCCAGTTCCTTTCACACTTGACTCCTAGTGCTTTTAGTTTGTTTGAATCAGTAAACTGACTTATTGATGGACTACTAGTAATCAGATTTCTGTTATTACAAACAACTTTTCATAGTGTCATACATGCCTGTTACAGTAGAGCCTCAGAGTTACAAACTGACCAGTCAACCACACCCCCATTTGGAACCGGAAGTACTCAATCAAGAGCAGCAGAGACCAAAAAAAAAAAAAGAGCAAATATAGTACAATACTGTGTTAAATGTAAACTACTAAAAAAAGAAGGGAAGGCAGCATTTTTCTTCTGCATAGTAAAGTTTCAAAGCTGTATTAAGTCATTGTTCAGTTGTAAAGTTTTAAAAGAACAACCATAACGTTTTGTTCAGTGTTACAAACAACCTCTATTCCCGAGGTGTTCATGACTCTGAGGTCCTACTGTATATTTCAGTATGCTTTAGCGTTAAAACAGTACTTAGAATTAAACAATAAATGAAATATATCTTCGAATGAGGTTTGAAAAGAAGTGAAGAGGCAGAGAGATACAGGAAATCTACTACAGTTCAGACAGAGCATTGCATGCTGGTTTTCGTCGTCTCCAGGGGTCATATATCTATATTAAAGACGATAAAATTGCTGTTGTTGTGCTTCAGCAAAGTTGAGTACCTCTGCATTAGCAAACATATAATTTGGACCTGATTTTAAACGTGTCAGATTTTAAAATTTATTTGTAGTTTCACTAACTGGTTGTTTGCTCGCTAAAATAGTCCTCAGACGGCAGTCCATGAGCTGCAGGGGTCACATTATGCAGATTCTTCCTCTTTGCTTCCAGCTCTTTCGAGGCTGTTGGTGGCAAAGAGCCCTGGTGCCCTATACAAGTAAGTTGGAAACAAGGAAGAGGAGCCAGCCTAGCCTATGCGTGTTGTGTAACTGAGAGCTGGAAGGGAGCGGGTCCATCGGGTTGCAAATGGGAGAGGAAGCGGGTCCACAAGACTATAAAAATATGAGCTCCCCAAGTGACTGTGTAGATAAACGGGAGAGGGAGGCATGTGTCCTGGATACTTAACGTATAGGGTTTCCGTATAAAACTGCAACGTGAGCCTTCTCCCCTCTAAGTTTCACTTATACGGGGATTATCAAAGAGATTTAGCCTGATTAGAGGGATCTAGTGGTGAAGCAGCTACTAAACAGGGGCCCTGCTGACTAAAAGCGAATCAATATCCATGTTGAAGAAAATTAGTGTGTAACATGAAACCTTGAAGCCTTGTCTTGTTTTAGATATACATCGGTGGTAGTTTTGAGTGCTTGGTTCAGGAGCTGACTAAATCCTTGACTCTGCAGTTTGAACCAATGCTGAAGCCTGTCCAGAAAAATGATGGAATTATTCCAGGTAAAGAGGTTCTTGCTTACACGTTGGCTTCCTCTTGTCGCTGTAAACAACGTTTAGAGTAAATGCTGCAAATAGAGACACAACATCACAGCACTCGCACCTTCTTGTGGCGCAGTTAGAGGCTGGTTACATATGTGAGCTATAACAAGTAGGCATTGCTGAAGCTAATTCAGTAATCTCATACTTCAGTGTGTGCTGATAGAATTTGTGCTGTCTTTAAGTTTTGAACTGTAATGCTCTCGTACTAAAATGGGAGCTGAACTGTACTTTGCCATCCTTAAAAAAAATAGTTTTGCCTTTGTCAGATTTGGGCTGCGTGCCTGCTCCTTCTAGCGGTGTGTCCTCAGAGGCAGACTTTGCACACACAAGCATAATTGTGTATACACCAACTGAAAGGGGAAGATGCACAAGGTTGGCCCTTTTAATCATGCAGACATTACCAATGGCACCTCTACTCTCCTGGGAATGGGCTGCCAGCCGCACCAGGTGTGCCTTCACACAGATACAAGGTGCAGTGTATCCACTGGAAAGCATTGCACGAAATCTGTTACCTGGCAGTGTTCCAGTTACATAGCTTATTGGGAGCGGTACAGTTCATGTTAATGCTACCCATTTCTTGCTGTGGAAAGCCTGGCTTCAATGTGTCTTGTGTTTATAACAGGTGCAGCTTTGAATCGTTAGGACTGCTGGTCAGCGGAGGGAATAACATTTGTTCCTTTCATGTTTTGTCCAGATTTAGTGAACATCTGTGCCAAAGTCAGCAAGATTTGTAAAGTATCTCGTGTAGACTATGTTCTTCCCAACCTCAGCCAGACAGAAAGCTGTTCTGTACCTGCTTCTCCTGGGAAAGAGCTGCCATTAAAGAGGGAGCTGCAGGAAGGCTTGGATCCCCCAAACTTCTTGGGAAAGTGCAATATCATCCGCATTGGGACCATGTCACTTTCTCACATTAATCCCATTCAGGTACTGAATTTAAAAGCACCTCTTCCCTTGGGTCGGGAGGGATGTTCAGTAGGAGCAGATTTGGGTGTCCAAGAGAAAAGGCACAAGAGAAACCGACAGAAATACTTCTGCCAAAGTGGTGTGAAACTTTGAGACCTGTTATATTCTGAGTGTGTAGCACTTAGAATATGGTACATCCTAGTTCTCTGTCTCAAAAGATTCACTGGCATAATATAGTATACCCGTGGATTCCATGCTAACAGGAAGGATTTCCTTTTTCTGCTCCAATATTAGATGAGAGAGATTCTCCCTTTTTCTCTTCTTGAAATTTATCCTCACTGGATATGTTCATTCTTTCTGTGACCACTCTCTACCATTGGGCAGGTTTGAACACATTGTGAAGCTGTTTCTCCTTTCAGTAGTTCAGGTTTTAACTAGATTTCCCAGGGAAGTTTGATTTTGGTCCTTTGCCGAGCCCTAACTTGTTCAAAATAAATCCTTTCTACCAGAAACTTCTTGTGTGGAGCATCCTGACACAGGGTTTTTTCCCTTATATTTGAGATTAATTGGAGATGTGAGAAGTTGGAAAATAACTTATCTTCTTGAAGTCTAACTTTTTTTTAAGACCCTAGGAACCCAGCCCCCCCTCCCCCCCATTTTATTCATTCATTGGTCCTCAGTGAAAGTTAGTGCCTTTGAGTACTTCTGAAATGCAGCTGGCTGGCTTTTAGATTTGGATTTATCTACCGCAGACCTGGAACCGCTGTGGCTTCCTTCAACACTTTTTATAAAAAGAACAGGAGTACTTGTGGCACCTTAGAGACTAACAAATTTATTTGAGCATAAGCTTTCGTGGGCTACGCCCCAATTCTTCGGATGCAACTATATAAAGTTTGCCAGTTGCAACACTTGGCTTGAATATTTTAGAGACCTATTAATTGCCATTCCGGACCAAACTAGAGGTCCCTTTAGTACAGTCTTCTGCCTCTGAGGTCTTGTCTATACTTACGGCTAAATCGGCACTGCTACTATCGATACAGCGGTGTCAATTTAGCGGGTCTGGTGAAGACCTGCTAAGTCGGTGGCAGAGCACTCTCCCATCGAGTCTGTACTCCATCTTCCCAAGAGGCAGAAGGTAAGTCGGCGGGAGAGTGTCTCCCATCGACACAGCGCGGTGTAGACACCACTGTAAGTCGACCTAAGTTACATCAACTTCAGTTACGTAACTGAAGTAGCATAACCTAGATTGGCTTACAGCTTTAGTGTAGTCCAGCCCTGACACTGACCACTACCAAGTGCTTCAGAGGAAGGTGCAATGTCATACACAATTGCAGAATAGCCTCTGATGAGAGACTTTCCAAAAGTATTTGCAATGTCCAGAGACATTATGTTGCCAGATTCCCCTTTATCCACTATTTTGTTGACATGCATAAAGAATTTTAATAGAGAGGTGTAAGCTTCTTTTACAGAAGGTGTGCTGGCTTGGCCTGTCCTCATTCATGTAGGTGTTTTATAATTCTCTTTATTTCTACCAATGAGCCTTAATACACTCCCAGATCAACAGCTACTGCCAACTAGACAGGGTGGTCTACTCCACCTACCCTCCAAAGTATGTAGTAAACGTTATACTCTGAATTACCTTCCTTATGCACTTCCAGATAGAGTTTAAGGTCTTCATCATGAAATTCTGGCCTGAAAGTACACAGAAACCATACAATGAAAGGTTACCATTTGCATCTCCTGTATCTATATTGCTGAGTAAACCATGGGTGTATAAATGGTTGGTGGAATTATGGAGTTAGTGATAAAGTTGTTTGGGGGATCTTAACTATGAAAATCTGGAAATTGAAACATGAGGGTTTTTTTAAATATAATAAAATTGTATCATATATTTACATCCTTAACGGTTTCTAAATGAAATATTTTAACTGCAAATTGTATTATCCATTTCTCAATTGCAGTGTATTTTATTAACTCATAGAGGCTTTTAGCAAAATAAATTCAAAAACTGATCTTCAGGAGAAAGCAAAGCCTGTCATCCATTTCAGGGCTTCTCTGTGAACATATCTTAGAGTTCCATTCAGGAGTCAATACTGTAAAATGAAAGACAGCCACAACCTTGTTTTTAAATGTCTTTTCTCACTGTTCTATTTGGAAATCAGTGAGTTATCACCTAACAAATCTGTCTCTTGTATTTTTAAGATATCTGTGCAAGAAGTCACCATCACTATGACAGGTGAGTAACCTACATCATTTTTATCTTTGTGCACGCCCTCCTTTTTCCACCCCACCCCCCATTTATAAACTGCAGAATAGAAGGATTTTCTTCAATCCCTTGAAGTTGGTATTTAAAACTCCCAAGAAAGAAACTTTTGACCAGTGCTTCTGCCTTGGCTATGAAGCACTGGGACTCAGCACACAGAATCAAGGTCCCTCTGGTATGGGGACATTCCCTGGGCAGTATGAATTGATCAGAATGATTGACTTTTAGAATTGTTGGTCTCACTGAATCCATTCACACCTTTCTGGCACAGCTGGATACATTCCTGTTACTTCTCCATCTGAACTCCCAGAAGAGAGAGAGAGATTAGAACTTCATGCCACTCTTTTTCCTACACACCATCTTAGGGCTTGGAGCACCCCGGGGATACCCTGTAGGTAAATCTTAGTAACCAGGAGTTCCCAGCCCGGCAGATTGCATTGATGCTCCTAGAAAGCTCCTGGTCACTGGCTTCGAGGAGTTAGTCATTACAGTGTTTAATACCCATTGCCATTCTCCATTGAGGGTTTTTTCTTTGTACACTGTAAAATTTGTTTTCATTTTAGAATATTCAATGAACAGATAGTTAATCTCTTATGTGGGAGGCTTAAGTAGGTTTTTGATATGAGGATATTTTCTTTCCACCTGGACAAAGCACATAATATAAATGTAATAGAACAGCGACAGCACCATCCTTTGGCTGTGGCACCATATTATGTTCAGAGATTTTGAAACACTGAATACGGTTTTGCTGTCATAGGAGCATAAATGTGAGCATACTTTTAAATGCTCATCTTTCTTCCTCCAAAGATAATACCACCATGACTCTTCCGTTCAGCAGCGTGTATCTTTGTGAATGTTGCTTCCACCTATATTATTTGATCCTTCATCTCTCTCCTGAGTTTGCCAAGAACATTTACTCCAGATTGGGAGCCCAGGCATCCAACCCAAGTGAGTGGAAATGGGAATGCCTCCCGGGTGGTGGTGATGTCTTGAAAAACAACCTAGATAAACCTGTGAACTATTAAAGGGCTTTTTGTTTGTACAAGGGTTTTGTTTTCCATATCTCCACCAGACACATGTACCATATACAGTAACTCCTCACTTAACGTCGTAGTTCTGTTCCTGAAAAATGCGACTTTATGCGAAACGATGCTAAGCGAATCCCAATTACCCCGTAAGAATTAATGTAAATGGGGGGGGGTTAGGTTCCAGGGAAACTTTTTTTCTCCAGACAAGACATTATATACATATACAGTATATGTTTTAAACAATTTTAAACAAACGGTTTAATACTGTACACAGCAATGAATGTGAAGCTGGGTTGAGGTGGTGGAGTCAGAGGGTGGGATATTTCCAGGGAATGCCTTACTGCCCAATGATTAACTAGGACTCTGCTGAGCTCTCAAGGGTTAATATGCTGTTGTTAATGTAGCCTCACACTCTATAGGGCAGCATGGACTGAGGCAGAAGGGAGGAGAAACAATAGATGCAGGGCAGTAGCTGCAAACACTTTCCTGCAAATACTGAACATGATGATGAGCCCACACTCTCCAGCTGGAGCGCACCCCTCCCTCCTCCTGACAGCACATGCACAGCTGCACAGGTGCTGACTTTCCAAAGTGCGGTGGGGTACGTGCATGAGAGAGAGAGATGTGCATTGCCCCTTTGAGTACGTTGACCCCACTTCAAGTACTTAAGCAGACCCCTTTTAAGCAGATCAGCCAGTTCAGACAGGAAGCAACAGCTTCCAGCAAGCTCCCTCTATTCTGTCCCCTAGCCCTGTCCCCCCTCCTCCCCTTTGTGGTACGGAGCAGGGGACGGGGCGGGAGCAGGGGGACATCCTGATACCAGCACCCCTCTCCCCCGCCTCCTCCAGCAAGGTCGAAGCTCCTGGGAGCAGCTCCAAGGTAGAGGGCAGGGCAGGAGCAGCACGGCAGTGGGGGTGGGACAGCTGAACGGCTGCTGGGCAGCTGCCGAGCCACATATCTTACAGGGAATTTAGGGGAGGTGATTGGGGGGGGCGGGTGGGCGCGCAGGCAGAGGGTGCTGGTTCTAATCCCTACAAGGAGGGGCTGCTCTTCCAGAGAATCCTGCAAGCAGTGGACAAAGCAGGCGGCTGCCAAACGACTATAAGGGAGCATTGCGCAACTTTAAATGAGCTTGTTCCCTAATTGATCAGCAACGTAACAATGTTAACCGGGACAACGTTAAATGAGGAGTTACTGTACTGTAATTTAGAGTCTGAACCGCTACAATGGGCTAATGTGTTTTGCAATGGTAGGTGTGCCTTGTCTTCCCTGTCCTAAGTGGTGGAGGGGGAAACCACACATACACCTACATGAGCTTTTTCCATCTGTCATTATCATAATCATGTGTGGAGCCAGCAGGAGTTTCTTTGAAGTTCTCCTGCTGTGTCTTCTGTATGGAGCAGTATCTATGCTAATTTGAGTTATTCCATAGACCTGGTATTGCTGTGCTACATAAACCATATAAACATTCTGAGACTTCCGCCGAACATATTGGATTCCTAGAAACAACAGCCAGTAGGAAGTGGGGGGGAGTGATAGAAAAAGCTCCTTCACACTTCTGAGATTAGTTTATGTTGCGCTATGTAATGTAGTTTAATTGCACTGTCTTTATACCTAGGTAACCAGGAGGCTCTCATTATCCTGGACAAGCTCCAGGACCCATCATCTTTCCATAGCTTGATAGAATTCATTTCGGCAAGACATGGGGGCATACCTTGGTTCCGGGAACTAAATCTGCAGCAGGGAAGAGAGAAACTGGAATCGCTGGGGGTGTATTACACTGTCAAAGTGAGCCATCATGAGTTCTGCAGTCTAGAGGTGGGAATTTCAGGGTGACTATCAGAAAACAAGCTTGTTTCCAAAGAGAGAATGAATTGGAGGCTGTTTGCTGGGAAAGCTGGTATTATCAGATACTTGAGCTCCACAGATGAGAGCCAGCCAGTCCTGAAGAGTTGTCCTGAAAGACTGGGGCCTTGCCCTACATGTTAATAGATCATCTACTCTTGAACAGATTCTTCAACCTCAAGTAGAATCTAGTTCTAGTGACAGTGAATTCTCACTGTCTTGCAATTATTTTTGGTTTTTTGGGTTGTTGTTTTTTGTATTTATCTATCAGACCTACTTCCTAATAAGACAGACACGCATGACTGAACTACAAACTCCCATACTGTATTTGTACCTTTAGTTTAGCTAGCCACCACAACAAGCTTTCTGCGCTGTGCGGCTGCGAGGCTTCACTTCTAGGAGACTCTTGAAAGTAACCACGCTAACATCCATGGTTTGATCATGGATCTCTGCCCCTGCCAGATGTTGGATGATATCCCACCTGCAGCAGTTCTCATTTGATTTGTATCTTGTGATGATGGAGATAAAATATTCTTTCATGGTGTTTAGTCACTCATCTCTCAGGAATTCTGACCTCTTGAGCTGAAATTATCTAGGGTTAATCTCTATCTGAAGGTGAATTATTTTTGGAGACAAGTATCAGAGGGGTAGCCGTGTTAGTCTGAATCTGTAAAATGCAACAGAGAGTCCTGTGGCACCTTTAAGACTAACAGAAGTATTGGAGCATAAGCTTCCGTGGGTGAATGCCCACTTCATCAGACC